ATTTTTTGTTAAAAAAAGCATTCTAATTGTACACACAGGTACTATGAAAAAGATATTCAAAAGATGCTCGAGTTTTTGATTGACAATACAGTTGCATCTATGTAGTTTTTGGAGATCAGGTCTTCCAACAATCTATTGGAATTTCCATGGGTACCAATTGCGCCCCGTTATTAGCAGACCTTTTTTGTATTCATATGAAGCAGAATTTGTCCAAAATCTTATACGTGAAAAGAAGAAAACACTTGCTGTGGCCTTCAACTCGACATTTAGATATATCGACGACGTATTGTCAATTAACAATGGCTATTTCCATTCTTATGTCAATACGATATATCCCGGTGAGCTTGAGATAAAAGATACCACAGTGTGTGACACATCTGCTTCATATTCGGAAAATAATTTTACTTGAAAAAGACGTTAATGGTAATCTAACAACCAAGCTTTATGATAAACGTGATGACTTTAACTTTTCAATCGTCAACTTCCCTTACTTATGCAGCAATATACCTTCATCACCTGCATACGGGGTATATATCTCTCAGTTGATTCGATACGCAAGATCATGCTCTACGTATGAACAATTTCTAAAACGAGGTAAATTATTGACAAACAAGTTGATGAAACAAGAATATCAGCTGTCTCGTTTAAAGTCATCATTTCGTAAGTTCTATGGTCGATACAATGACCTTGTAAGCAAATACAATTTATCATTGAGTCAAATGCTGACTGACGTTTTTCATACTAATTGTTAGGCCATTATTCACACACTGAATTGTCGACGGATTTTTCCGTTATTTCCCGATCATGACAAGGAGCATACGGCGGGTGTGACCGGTCGGCAGGGGATGCTTACTCCTCCATGGCATCTGATCCCACCTCTGACGTTTGGAGGTCCGTGTTTGCTCTGCTCCTATTTTGTATTGTTTAATGGACTTTGAGCCTGAATGCTGTTTGTTATCTCCATATATTTCATTCCATACATACGACTCCATATGTCCCAGTGAACTTGAAATAAAAGATACCACAGAATCTAACACATCTGTTTCATATTTGGACATTTTACTAGAAAAAGACGTTAAAGGTAACTTAACAAAACTTTATGATAAACGTGATGACTTCAACTCTTTTATCGTCATCCTCCCTTACTCATTATGTAGCAATATACCATTATCACCTGCATATGGGATTTATATCTTCCTGTTGCTTCGATACGTAAGAGCATTCTCTACGAACGAACAAACAAGTTGGTGAAACAAGAATATCAACGTTCTCTTTTAAAACCATCATTTCGCAAGTTCTATGTTCGATACAATGACCTTGTCAGCAAATACAATCTATCATTAAGTCGAATGCTGACTGATGTTTTTTATACTGATTGATAAGCCATTATTTACACACTAAATTGTCTACGGGATTTTTTCGTTTACCCGATCATGAAGATAAGGGCCAACTAACAGCTAAATTGCGTGGTGCAGTGGTCAGAGGGTTTTCTCTGGAGTCGCGGAATAAGGAGCTGATCCTTACATTGCGGGTTCTAATCCCACTGCGGGACGTAGAGATAGGTCCTTCGGATGAAGCCGAAATAAACCGAGGTCCTGTGTCGCAATAGGTGCTGACAAGGAAAAATCCCTTACTGGTCAAAGGCCGTAAGTGACAAATACAGCTTAAATTTGCAGCCCTCCTCCGGAAAGTGGCGGGGTCTCAATGTGAGTGAAAAATTCTCGAAGGTACATTAAACAAAAAAAAAAACATGACAAAAGAAATGACTTCAGCTTCTTCATAGTCATGTTTTCTTGTTTATGTAGTAATATTCCGCTCTCAGAGTTTGTGCCTCCAACTTTTTCGATACTGAAGAGCATGCTCTGAGTACGGTCAATTTTTAAACCGAGACAGGTTACTGACAAATAAGTTGATGTTACAGGGATTTCAACAACCTAGTTTAAATTTAACATTTCGTAAGTACTATAATCGTTAAAAATGACCTTGCTACCAAATTTATACAACCCGTCATTGGGTCGTATATTGACTGACATACCTTATACCAATTGTTAGGCCTTTGTTTTTTTAATACTAAATTTGACTACTTTTAAATAATCTGCCGCATTAGTCTTGTTTCAAGACTGTTTGACCTGTGAAGGTTTTCGGGTTTGTTTGTATACAGGGCACTCCCTACTTATTTTCATCACAAGGTACATGTACCTAAATCAATTTCAGGCACCCCCACTTCAAGCCAGTGCTTTATCAATTTATCAATCATTTACCTATTTCAATAAGACATAGTTCGCTTCTAGAGACCTTTTCCCAGAGACTTCCGAACTTTTTCTTCTGAAGTCTCTGGTTTTATCCTACACTATAACCATAACTGGAAGTTGATGTATCCTGTCTAACGTCTTAAAATGTCGCGAGGTAATTTTCTAGGAATAAATGGGTGATTAACAATAAAGAGCCTTGAACAAAGACGTCTGGAACGATATATTTGAAAAGAAAATAGTCTCTGGAAGTCTTATTCAAGTAGGTTAATGATTGATAAATTAATAAAATACTGGCTGGAAGTGGGGGTGCCTGAAATACTTGATATCGCGATTACTTAACTTAATGGAATTCTTTCGCGGTGAAGGTAGGGAACGTGTATTAGCTGGGGACAATGTGCTGTTGCATATCATGCGAGATCGAGCATTGAAGATTTTCAAGGGGGAGATATGAAAGAAGTCCTGGTGAAATATCTTGCGGAACATTCGCTGAACCACGCTAATGAATTTCAAGAGAACCTAGTCCAAATGTGTTACAATTTTATTGATACTTTTTCACTAAGCCGACTCTTCTAATTAAATTCAACCATTTCTTTCTGATAAAAGTTACTTTTGGAAGCTGATAAAATAAAACTCTAAACATTCCAATTAGACAACCAACTATTTGAAGTTCAATCCTTTGCAATACATTGTACTTTTGGCATACTAATTGTTCGAATAATTCGATTGTCGCTATAGCGTAAGTACTTCATGCCCCAAAAATCTCGTGAGATTTAGAGTTTCCTCGACTTCGTTGCAAAAGAGCGTCATTAAGTTAGATAGCTGTGAGGTAATCGCGATACTAAGCATTAAGTTAAGTACCTTGTGGTAAATAGAAGTAGGGGGTGCCCTGTATACGAAACAAGTGCCTGTGGTGGCGGTCATGAGTGATTTCGGGTGGCGGCCCCAAAGCGGAGAAAAAACAAACAAGGTGAGTAAACTTTTTCATATGTATAGAAGTATTAGTTCAGAAAATTATATTTTATGGAAGGGAGCAACTATCAGACAGCCCCCAAAAGTTTAAAACGACATATACAAGTGCCCCGTTTTCTCAAACACTCCGCACTTTTTGGGGTATCACTATCATGATTTCAACAAAATTAAATCTGCACTACATGAGGATGCTTCCATATAAATATGACTAATCATGACTTTGCTTTTCTTGAGAAGATTTTTAAAGATTTTTCCTGTTTTCCTATTTTTGATCGGCCTTTATGACCCCATCCTAACCCTGGGGGTCATGATTTGAACAAATTTGAATCTACACTATCTGAGGATGCTTCCATATAAATATGAATAATCATGACATGACTGTTGTTCTAAAAAGAAATCTATTAAAGATTTTACCTATGTATTCCTATGTAAACCTTTGATTATGGTGGCTTAATCCTACCATAGGAGGGGGTCATGCTTTGAATAAACTTAAATCTATACTACCTGAGGATGCCTCCATATAAATACTGGTATGACTATTCATTACTGCTGTTTCTAAGAGGGTGTCTGATTTTGATCGGCTATTGTAGCCCCACCCTATCCCCGGGGGTCATCATTTGAACAAACTTGAATCTACATTACCTGAGGATGCTTCCAAATCGATATGATTAACCATGGGTTTGCTGTTCATGAGGAGATTTTAAATATTCTTCCTATATATTCCTATGAAAAAAAATGTGATTGCACATTGTGTGAATCCCCCAGCGGATTATGAATTGAACAACCCTGAATCTTCACTGTTTAATTAAGATTTTACATAAGTTTCATCGTATCTTTTCTGGCCCTGTGATTATTAAGAAATTTTTTAAAAATGCCATTAAATTTTCGCTGATTCTTAATTATCTCGCCTTGAAAGAGGGTGTGCTCCTTTATTTGAACAAACTGAAATCCCCTTTACTCAACGATACTTTATGGCAAGTTTGGTTGAAATTGGCCCAGTGGTTCTGGAGATTTTGAAAATGTGAAAAGTTTACAAAAGACAGGCGGACGACGGACACCCCTCGATCAGAAAGCTCACATGAGCATTTGGCAGAGGTGAGCTAAAAAAATTTCAGTGCCTCCCTCCACTGTGTACTCCGGGCCTGGAAAGACTTAGAAAACACGCTATTAGTGTGGTTTAACTGTTAATCTATTTAAGGAATGAATTTAATAGCTACCTATTTTATACAGTATAAAGTGGGTTGGGGCAGTTTACGCTTTATAAACCGCGAAGCAGTTTATAGAAAAGCGTAAATTGTTCCAACCCACTTTATACCGTATAAATTGGGTAGCTATTAAATTCATTTCATATAATTTAATTTTCATTCATTTAGTTTAAGAAAAAAGATGATTACCCTTAAAAATGACTTCAAATTGTACAAAATTCAAATGTAACATCAGGCGGATCGATACGTTTTGACGCAATTAAGTCATTGTGACGTAGGCAACCCAATTCATACGATATAAAGTAAATTTTTTATCCAATCAAATACCGTGTTATAACTAGAATTAAATCATTTTGCTGTGCATATCTGTGTAATCATCTGTAGTCATGGAAATACAAAATTTCCTTTAGATTTTACTTATTACATGTAGTTACCTACAGTTCAGGAATGGGTTTTTAAATTGAATGAATTTTGTTTGTTTATATTGTAAGTGCCTTTGCATCGTTCTGCCAGGATAGCTGACTGGTTGATAAAACTTCCATAAATATCTCAGTCAATGCACTAAAGAGCATCAGTCATTAATGATCAACTTTTAATATTCTATATAAATGTTGTGCACAAATAAGCAAAAATACATTATAAATCGAAACAGTTAGTTCATACCTTCAAACAGTGATATTAATAAATAAATATTAACTGCGCAATATTAGAAATAACCTCTAACTACGCTTGCAATTGTTCAATTATAGGTGTAAGTCCTGTCTTTGATGATCCAAGTTTCTCTTTGAATTCGGTGGACACCTCGTTTTCCCGGTAAGCCGCTGATGCCCCCAAAAGCGCCCCAAGCGCTGCACCCCGGTGACAATTTTCCCCTGAAAATAGAATTATTGGATGAAATTGAGGTTTTATGTGTAGTTTATGACACATGCTTATTTGTGCACTATTATTATCAGAATCCGAGTTTTTCTGTGGCTAAAATTCACAGCCCAAGATTGCCGATCCTGTAGGCTTAGACTGTCGTTTCAGTATTATATGTGTTTCTCTGGGTCTGTGTCATGGGAACTTATCACACTAAACAAGAATAACCGTGACCTCGGTTTCTATGATGGTTCAGAAGACCGGTTATTTCAGTTGCTACCAGAAAAGCTAAGTGTTAGGCGAAAGAAAAGTCACTCCATGTAACTTAAAATCTTACTTTGAACCGCGCTGAAGTAAATTCATCACCTGTTACTAAAGAGAATAGGATGTAATACGCGAAGTTAAAGTTCCTAAAACTTATATTGAATTGATTTGTATATAATGTGCTCAATTTCCGTCACCTTTTTATACAATTTTCAATATCTTTTTTCGCATTTCCGGGTGATATGATCAATTGCTATGTTATTAAAACACCACTGCCATTGATTCTCTCAATGGGACACACGAATCAAATCTCAAGCATTAGTTACCTCCACAATTAGCATTTGCCAAGAGTCCCTCGTTAACGTCATCAGCAAATTCCAACGCTAGGAATAGCATGCTAGACATAGCACCTTCCATGTAACAAGCGGATCCCAAACGACTGGTGGCGGACTGGTACATTCTCAATCGGCTTTCAGACCCTCTCGGCGCTCTAAAATACGAAATAAATTTCAATGTACAACCTGATTAAAAAAAAACCTTACAACTTTCTCCTATTAAACTGGGGGGAAATAGTGACAATTATCCTCAAATTGGGAAAAACTGTCTTTAGTATATCAGAGTGATAAAAATGCATAATGATAATAATCACCATTATCATGATGACCATCATCAAACATTAGCAATAATAACTCATTTCGTTTGAAGTTTACTTCAAATTTGATTTAATATCATAAAATATTTTATTTTCATTTAACACGATATATATTAATTGGGAACATAACTGATATTAACCACATGCTTATTTATTTTCTTGGAATTACTCATTATCTAATTTCATTTCTTTCAAAAAGTAATTCACTTCCATTTGGACTCGTAATCTAGTAAACTGTCTTATACTAGTTTTAATAATCAGTTTACACAACTACAAGTTGCTGTTTGTGTTTATCTAATAAAATTTATTACAATTTTTCCAGCGATTTGTCGACCTCTGTTATTGATTCAATTTTCTTACATTTTATTTTTTTGATTTCAAATTGGGAAAAACAGATTTCTAATTGTAAAATATGGCTAATTTCAGTCGAATATTAGTGGTTTTGTCTCCCCCCTCCCCCCCCCCCCCAAAAAAAATATCGGTCAACCATTTTATAAGAAATTCCCTACGCTCACTCTGTATTTGAATTTTGCTTAAGGGAAACGAAATTTCTCATTTTAAAATATTATATTTCTTAATAAATCTGAAAAAATATTTTCTCTTCTCTTTAAATAAACAGTCACACATTAACCTTTTCTTCAAGAAAATAATTTGTTTTAATTACATATTTTGAAATTTTCATTTCCAATTAATACTTAATCAGATGCTCTTCTTATTGCCATGTTTTCCTCCCGCCTACCCATTAGCTTTGTCTAGGAGATTCAGCACGGATTCCCGTTTCTGTTGTCCTCCTAATTCAGCGTTACTCAGAGTCTTCATGGCTTCCTGTTTCAGTGGGTGTCCGTTTAGTACACCATGCAGCAGTCTGGCGTAAATATCAATAAAAGGAACCAGCCCAGACTCAGGATGTGTAAGTTTCAGAAAGTCTACGGTAGCTTTGGCACATTCTGATTCTGATTTATGTGCGTAGTGAATAATCCATGGAATAGCAGGTACAAGTGCACCGATACTGACCAGCTGGTGATCTAACGGCCCTTTGCTTGCTTTCATGTATCTGAAAAACATAATGCGGTTTTACAAAATAATTCCACGTTTTATAGTGGGATCTAATTGAAGTTTGATGATACAATGCATAAGATGTGATCTTTGTTTCCTTTCAGTCCGAGTCGTATAATTAAATTCTGGAAGGACGGGATTATAAGTATGCAATACTTGTTAAAATTTCTTTATTTCGACAAAAACATGAAATAACAGCCTCTCTATACTGTATTTTTACAGAGCAGTAGGAATATTATAAGTCTTTTAAACAGTTTATATTCAACTATTTTGAATTAATTAACTCGATCTTGGAAACTCTAAACACTGATAATGGAAATATTTTTGGGACGTTGAGAAAACTATATAATCATAAATCAAGTTTATCAAATTTACTTTCAACATGAGACACCTGCCATATTTCCCCAAATAAAAAAAAACATGTAGAAAAGGTTAAGTGAACAGCAAATACTGCTGTTTACTAAAATTGAAAAAATCCATGCATATAACAGAAGATGCCCATGGGCCACATCGCTCACCTGAGCCCTTTGGCTAGGAAAATGCAGAAATCAGTTCCGTATTAAAAAGTTTAAATATTAAATTGGTCCCGGGGGGGGGGGGGGGATTTGAACAACATGACTAATAATATCTTTGTTGTTCTTAAGAAGAATTTTTTTTATCGATTTATCCTTTATATTCCTTTGTATAACTATGATCCCCTGTTATGGCCCCTTTATACTCCCGGGGGGTCATGATTTGATCAAATTTGAATCTACATTGCCTGCAGAGGATGCTTTTATTTTATTATGACCAATCACGGTTTTGCTGTTCTTGAGAATAAGATTTTTTTAAAAGATTTTTCATATGTATTCTTATGTAAAACTTTGATCATCCATTGCTGCCCTACCCTACCCCCTGGGGTCATTATTTGATCAAATTTGAATCTACACTACCTGAGGATGTTTTTATATAAATATGATCAATCATGGCTTTGCTGTTCTTTAAAGATTTTCCCTATGTATTCCTGTTGTTAAATTTTGATAGCCCACTGTGGCCCATCCTACCCCCGGGGGTCATGATTTGAACAAACTTGAATCTACACTACCTGAGGATGCTTCCATATAAATATGACTACTCAAGGCTTTGCTGTTCTTGAAAAGACGACTTTTAAAAGATTTTCCCTATGTATTCCTATGTAAAACTTTGATCGCCCACTATGGCCCCACCCTACCCCCGGGGGTCATGATTTTTAAAAGATGCCATAAATTTTTCACGTATTCGCAATTATCTCCCCTTGGAAGAAGGCGTGGCCCTTCATTTGAACAAACTTGAATCCATTTTATCCAAGGATACTTTGTGGCAAGTTTGGTTGAAATTGGCCCTGTGGTTCTTGAGAAGAAGATGAAAATGTGAAAAGTTTACAACGACGACGACAGACAACGGACAAATTTCGATCAGAAAAGCTAACTTGAGCCTTCGGCTTAGGTGAGCTTAAAATTAGGTAGAGAATCAAAGTTGGTCTAAGATATACCTTACCACATGCTAAAGGACAACTTATTTGGTTACACAGAGCGTTTACCATTAGTTTCTAACCAATTATCGGAGAGTTCCTGGAATGTGTCCTAATAATTTACAATAGCAAGCAGATTGCTGATTCCGCATAGCACAGGTTCAAATTGCAAGTTTTGACAGTTGTTGGTTCATAGCATTTGAATTCTTACACTTTAATGTAAACATTGAGAAAATTAACCCACTGAACAGATTGGTAGTTTTATTTAACCGTATTAGTTATATCCCCTCAAGTTTACATGCTCTTGGAATTATTGAACTTACTCAGAATAAAAAGAAATTCGTGTAATTTTCGACTACTCAGAAAAAAATCCACTTCTACGAATGTTTCTGAGAATGGGTACATTCACTAAATTTTAGTTTTTTAAATGAAATCTCCATTTGAACCGGGTATTTGATTTTTTTTTTTGGTCATACTCGGAGCAGAGAAAACGTGTCTGAGAACTAATGGCAAGTCAATAAAGGTTTCATTGCTGAAATTAGCACAGAATACTGCATTTACTATCAAATTACTGTAAATGTCCTCATTGCTCGACATTACCTAACATTCTATCATTCATTCTTTCACAGAAAGAAGTCGATCAAAATATTTATTTGCAACATGAAAATTACAGTTACGATTTTGCCAACATCCATGACTTCGCATAATTACAAAGGCACAAGCAGAAACAAATATATTACATATTATTAAGCAGTCAACTTATAGTCACTGACTTCTAAGTAAATCATTTGGTTAATAACCTTCCAGTTGTCTCATTAAATATCGATATTTATTCTAGTCAATATCAAATCTTATTGTACCTCATATAAATAATCAATAGTAAAATAGAATCTGATTGGCCGAGACAGTCACGTGACCTCGTGTTTGCCCTGCAACAAAACTTCGTGTTTCACGATTATGACGTCACAATGCGACGACTGAGTTTACTACTGAGTTAGATTGTACCGTTAATTGATTGTGTCAATTTAAACGACGTGTAAAATATAAATATTTAGAAAAGTGTTTCATGGGTGAGATTTTAATGTTACTGGTGTGTAAATTACACTGACTTGTCACGAAGGAATGTTTTTTTTTTTTTATTTTTTTTTTATTTTTTTTTTTTATGAAGCGCGACTAATGGTGTAACTTACTTCTGTTTCATATTGTTCTTATCAAATATTTACTTTATTAATTGGATTTTCTTTATATTTCCTGCATTGTGCTTGATTCGGTATAATTAACAATTTATTGCATGATAGTGAGGGAGACATGAATATTTCTTCCCCCATGAAAAATCATATTCCCCGAGGGTGTTGCCCTCGGGGAATATGATTTTTCATGGGCGAAGAAATACTGTAAACCAACTTTTATTCGCGTGCGAGAAATTTTCACGAGGTTCGCTAGAGCCTCGTCATCGCGAATATTTCTCGCCGCGAACCGGTTCTTAGTCTCTCTTTCTATTAACAACAGATCAAAAAAAAGGCTTGATCGCGAAAATTAATCGCCGCGAACTAATCTTTAAAATTTAAAGTAATGCTACCATTTTTGAAAAGTAGGTACAACTTCATGGTCAAGGTGTAAAAAATCATGGTATATTTGGAAATGTCTTGTCACAGGTAATGAAAATATGTAATAAGAAATCACTATCTTTTCTAATTCAAAAGTTATGAACAATTAAAAAGTAATGTTAAAATTTTGAAAAGTAGGTCAAACTTCAGGTCAAGGGGTCAAAAATCACAGTATATTTGGAAAGGTATTGTCACAGGTAAAGCACCTGTCAAATATGAAAGCCCCGCCTCCCCTCAATCAAAAGTTATAAGCAAAGATAAAATTTTTGAAAAGTAGGTCAAACTTCAAGGTCACGGGGTAAAAAATCATAGTATCTTTGGAAAGGTCATGTTACAGGTAATGTACATGTGAAATATGAAAGCCCTATCTTCTTTTCTCATTCAAAAGGTTAAAGTTTTTTTGACATTTGACAGACAGACAGACGAATGAGATTCAATGTCCCCTTGCTTTCGCGAAAGCTGGGGACAATAAAGGAGAATATATTCAGTGGATATAAATTTATAAATGGAAGGAAAAATGACCATATCCAGTCAGAAATAGACAGTCCAATGAAAAGAACTGCTATTTTAAAAGAACAACAGCAAAGGTTAAGTTAGAGTATAAAATTATCAGTAGGTTTACTGTTTCGCTCTATGGTCCTACAGTATGAAAAGTAAAGTGGCTATAAATCACTATTCTTTATGTGCTTCTAAGCTGACCAATAAGTGAACAATGATCTACTAAAATAGAAATCTTTATAATCATATCTTTCTCTCATTTCGACCGACAGTGCTGCTCAACTTCCATATCATTTCAATCACAAATGAATAATAATTATCCTAAGATAATACAAACTGTTGACTCTGCGGAATTCAAGTTTCAAACCCAACTACTGAAGAAGTAAATACACCAGCCTATGTCTTATCTTTCAACTTACGTCACAAAAATACAACAGACAACAGATCATTCCAATTTTTGTTGTTTTTTCAGCGTCTATGTGCGTCTTGATTTTTGAAACCACAGATCAGAACCCCCCCCCCCCCCCCTACACAAACAAAATTAGTAGTACAGAAATTGAATTTTTTGGTTGAAACCATTTGAGTTATATTGATTTCTTTCTATTTGTCGACAATCTGTCATATAAGGTTCTTTTTAACTATCGTGATTTTTAAAGGAATGTAACTTTCTATGAGATATACTGTATTGATGGCACCATCTTTTGAATGATATGACCATAAAATGAGCGTTTTATTTTACTATGAACAAAAAACAAGTATACACTGACAAAACGTCAAAGATACTCAAGCTGTAAAAAAATCAACTAAGAAGTGTCATATATGTCCTAAAATGACATACTCTGTAAGATGTAGGCTATTGAGATTCAACAACTTCTGTTAAATAAAATACGAAAGTGCGGCTGCGGAGCATCACTCATTATTCCATCGTCATAGAATATAATTCGATATTAAACACTTAATATCTTTGCATACATGTATACAGACGTTTTGAATATAAGCTTCATTTTTGTTTCTAGAAATCTTTTATTTACACAAATAATATTTTTAAGTGCTTTTAAAATGAGTAAATCGACGACCTAGCATCGTTTTAGATAACCCAAGCCCCTCTAAGGCTTGAGTAAAAATATGGCCTGACCAAGTGGAAGGGCGTTAGTTTCGTGATTAGGGGCATTAGAAGTGAAAATCATGAATCTTGCTAATATGACCTTAAACAAGAGGCCCATGGGCCACATCGCTCACCTGAGCACTGTGACTAGAAAAAAAAAAGCAAAAATCAGTTCAGTATTGAAAAGCTTAAATGCATTAAGTGGTCCCGACCTACCCCTAAAAAGGAGGGGGTTGGTTGGTATAATTTGAACAAAATTGAATCTACACTAACTAAGGATGCTTACATATTTCTTTGAT